TCCTACCTTTCATTATCTCTCCGGGACAGCTTGGGTCCAAAAAGGGACCGTCCAGATGCTTCGGAATAGAAGGAGATTCAGGGAGATCCTGAAAGTCCGTCTTCTCACTGCTAAGCCCCGCCTTCTTCCAAGCACACAAATTTTGATCATGTGATCATAAGAATCCTGCAACAATTGTACGGGTGGAAACCAGTGGTCAATCACTGTTGCTAAATCAATCAATCAATCATCTATCTATCTACCATCTATCTATCCTATACAGTTTTTGTAGAACTAGAAGTCCTCACTCCAGTCATGAGAAGTATTCTGTTTTGGGGTTGTTTATTAGAGTGAACAAATGGGAAATGATAAATAAATAAAGTCTATAGTTCTGCCAGATAATGTGCATATAATCTCAATGCATACATATTAAAGAGGTGTCTGTGGTATATCAGATTGAATGAAGATAACTTTTGCTTATGATTTTTCAGACACTAGATTTTAAATCTATATTAAGAATTAAATCTACATTCTTCAAAAGAATGGACATTTGCAAAAGTTTACGAGAAGGATTTCTTTTATAGGTAAAAATACCAGTATCTGGGAAAAAGTCAGGTGGTTATCTTCATGTTAATTCAGAAATGGATTTTTCCCTCAACAGGTAAGTTTTAAAAGATCATGTTTTTAAAATTGTTGGATATTTGAACAACTATACTGTGTATGATAGTTATTCTATCATACTATACTTAATAGCCTTAGAGGAGATATTGCAGTTTGATTAAAACAAATGGGTAATGAAACTGATAAAATAAAGAACTGTGTATAACTTGCAATCCATTTCTGTATCAACCAGTACAAAATGCTGATGTAAATAAAGACATATTGTTAATTGGGTTGCTAATATAAGTTTCCAAAAGTGATTCATGTAAAGTTATACTACATCCACCTACTAGTGTACGTTTTCACTGATTTGCATCTAGTCTATATAGTTTCCTCAGACAGTAGATATTTACTCATTGGAAACCAAATTGGGGAATACAAAAATAAGTAATTTTTTTAAAAAAACATAGTTCACTAAAAATATCAACAAGTTAAAAGCTTTTTAAAAATAAAATAATGGTTTATCCTTAATAGTATTTACCTAAAAGACATAAAACAAATGATGTATTGGGAGGACTGCAGCAATGAATCTATTCTAGGTTAAAATCTTAACTATTATATTTCTACCATGTTCAACTACATCTTTTCTAACAAATTTTTGTGTTAGCTGGAGTCTACAGGAAGTCACGCTACAGCTCTGCAATGGCCACAGAATTCCAGTGTATGTTTCTTCTATGAAGACTATTTCTGGATAAAATACATAATATGTAGAACTGAATTATTATTATTATTTGTATTAGTATATTCAAATCCAATAAACATTCTTACAGACAACCAGAACATATGAACCATTTATTTATTATTTAAAGTTTAATTGCCTTCATAACTACTCTAAAGACTTATAATTACAAATGTAAAAAAATGTAAAATAAAATTACAGAGAGACAAAAATGTAGCTGAATAGAAGACAGAATTTAAAAAAAAACATCATGGGGTACACATGGCCATCATCCTTGCAACCAAGTCCTTAACAATTTGCAGAGTCAAAAGAGTAAAAGCAATACAGATCTCTATGGCTGTATGTAATTCCATTGGGCAGGAACCATCACTGAGGAGATATACTTCCTGGGCGCCACAGTGACACTGCTTAATTGACTCTTTGGGGTTTAAACTAAAGCAGATGAAGGATAATAAAAGGTATATATAGATTTTAAGTAGCTTGGAGTTTTATATCCTGTCCAGTTTAAAATAATTTACATATATTCCCAAGGTATTAGGGCTGTGTATACTTAAAAATAATTTGGGATTAATGTTTAATATTTTGCCCAAGCACAGCACCTGCTTACTATTCATTGAAGCAACTATGCTTTTCTGCATTATTCTCTGGATGCCTGAAAAAAGATATTAAATCATGTTAATAGGATAGGTTATTAAAATTATCAAATATTTTTCTAGGCTGATGAGGGAGCTTGAAAAAGGAATGACTGCTTTAATTAGTAGCCGAAAAGTGCTGTACTTATATACTTTTGTAATATCCCAAATGCTTTCTCTAAATAATGTTTGATTTCAGGTGTCTTATAAATGAACCAGTGTAGTTTAGCAGGAGACACTCAGCCATGGGAATTCATGGAATAATTTTGAGCCATCATGCTGTGTCAGCTCAACTTGCTTCACACAAATGTAATGTGAAAAAAGTAGAAGAGACGATGCTGTCTCTTCTTAATGCAATTAAGCTCTTGAAGGGAAAGTGCATACAATATAACAAATAAAAATTAAAAACAAATAAAATCTATTTGTCTTCAGCACTAAAATGCACTCTATAGTCAAAGAATAGCCAAGAACCTTTGAAATATAGTAATTAGCATATGGTTCATACAGTTTCTTTAAAAAAACCAATTCAATTGCTAGAAGTGCGGTGGCTCACATGGTTAGGACACTGAGCTAACTATGATTGGCAGATTCACATTCGTGACCCAGTTGCTTCCATGAGGTAGGGTGAACTCCCATCATATTCTCCAGTTCCTGTTGACCCACAGTTCAAAAGCTGGAGACCAAAAGTACATAGATGGGTACCACATCGGTGGGATCTTAATGGGGACATGAAAGGAGTCCCCAACTGTGTGTTCCCTGGGCAACAGTGATATTACCGTTCAGCCCTTTCAACCCAGAAGTGCTTTGGTGCTTCCAACACAACTGTACACTATTCAGTTGCTATATTGTCGCCTTGTCCTTCCATAATTAATAGGCAGGATTTATTATAATAATATGAATAAGATTTTGAATGCCTAACAAAGACATAGACTATATTAATAACAGACTTGCTCTGAAAGATTTTTCACTTTCAGGAGAGGTTCAAGTCTTTGTTTGGATTGTGGTGAAATAGAAATATGCTTAATAAATACATTCTGAGTAGTTATGTATCATACAATGTATAGCCGCAAAATTCTATTGCTAAGACTATTAAGTGAATTTTACCCTTTTTACACCCTTACTTGCTACAACTGTTAAGTGAATCACTGAAGTTGTTAAGTGAATCTGACTTCCCCATTGACTTTGCTTGTCATAAAAGGTGATCAAATGACTCTGGGACACAGCAACCATCATAAATATGAACCAATTGTCAAGCATCTGAATTTTGATCATGTGACCATGAGCATGCTGCAGTGGTCCTGTGAAAAACTGTCAAAAATCACTTCTTCAGGGCCATTATAACTTCGAACAGTCACTAAATGAATGGTTGTAAATCAAGTAAGTTTTAGAAGAAAAAAGTTTAGCGCACTTGAAAATAAAATATTTTACACAAATGCACATGTACACTATATTGCCAAAAGTATTCGCTCACCCATCTACATAATCAGAAGCAGTTGTGAGTGAATACTTTTGGCAATATAATGTATGTATGGGCACATAAAAATTGTCCTAAGGGGGAAAAAATTGGAATGTTAAGTGTACTAAATTGCCATTTTAGCAAGTTTTGGACTTGTCCTCCATGCTAACATCAACCATGTATCATATTTACAAACATATGCTTACCTCTAAGTATCCAAGTTTAAATAACTATTGAGTGCACTGATCTCCTAAATTATGTAAAGTTAGACAGTAAAACCTGTTTTATTCAGATAGTTCTATAGGCAGACTCACATTTATGTAACAAATTGATATTACTGTCCATCTCACAAAATATAACTCTGGGCAACATATAAACAACAGTTAAAATGTCACATTAACATTTTAAAATAAAACCAAGATTGCAGAAGAACATCCATCTAAATATAGCGTAACCATTGCGCAGGCTAGCTAAGGGATCCCCAAGGTTATTGAAAAAAACTATGTTTTCGAAAGTATAGCCGTAAAGGGGCTCACTTCACTTTGGGGAGAGATGATGTTCTAGAGGGCTGGGCCATAGCAGAAAAGGCATGCTGTCTGGGTCTCATCAGAGGAAACTGTTAGTAGCTAAGACCCACAGCAAAACCGTGTGCTAGACTTGATGGATTATGTTGATCTGTGAAGGGATGGCAGAAGGTTTGGGCTTTCAGATTAACAAGATCTGTTTAGTCATATAATAAAGTAGAATTAACTCATCATGTTTCCTTGTTTACTGGGGAAATTGACACATCCTAGGGGCACACAGCTACATTCTGCACTGATTTTAAGCTGCTGGATATTTTTCAAGAGCAATCCCATGTATAGAGCACATTACAGAAGTGAACAGGGCATGAGTGAGCAGAGTCTGAGAATCCAGAAAAGGGTGCAACTGGTGCACAACATAAACATGTTCAAAAGCCATCCCAACCATGAATGTCACTTCCTCCTTAAGCAGTAGTCTAGAAGGATTGTGCATCATGTCTGTTTGGAGTAGCTCTAGTAAAAAAGATGGTAAAGTCTCAGATCCAGAAGCACAAAATTTAAGCCCACTCCATCTTGCCGAGGTTCCTTTTATTTTTCTAGACATTTGAAGCCTGGCATCAACAGCTTTGTCAGGGTGGAGATATGTAATTGGTGTTCATAAGCACACAAATACTTCACCCCAAGGCAATAAATTTACCCTGCAACAGATGTTATACAGGAATGGAGAGGTACCAAACCTTGCATCATCCCACATATCCATATTCTATTGTCATTAAATGAAAGTTAATTTATAAATCTGAGCTGAAGGAACAATGGTAAGCTATCCTTTCTGCCTTGGAAATATTTGCTAGCCTTTGCCAACTTCTCTTAATGTTGATTGGAAATAAGGTTATTTTGTTCCATATCTATTCTTAGTCAGAAAATATTTTGGGTGATTGAGAGCCACTAGTATAATTTATAGCATTGTTTATTTTCTTTGTTCAAAGAGGACACAGTACTTGGGAAAAAGACACATTGCTTTTGTTCCTTCATTATGCCTTTATTAGCCTAATATTGATCTGCCTCTGTGAACATTACTTTGTTGGTTGTGACACTACACTATATCTTAAGGACATAATTAAACTAAGAAGAAATAGATCTCATATTAAACAGTGTCTACTTTTTAAACCAGAAACTAACTACTTGTGTAAAATCTTTGTCCAGAAGAATTTGATCACACTGCATTGCTTTCCATGGAATATACTAGAGAACCAATGCTTTTAATAAAACAAATCCCTTTATTAACAATGGTTTGATATTGCTTACAAAATGGGAAAAAAAGATATTGCATACATATCAGAAAAAATATTGAATTCTCGTTTAAGAGTTTGAGTAGCATAGCTAATATTCTGGAAATGAATTCTTAAATTTAAACTGCTAATGTTTTTCAGTGTAATTATCTCAATTACAAATCAATACAGTTTTGGAGCCCCAATTTTTAGTTATGAACAAAAAATAGTGATTTTTATAATTGAGAACTACTTAGTAAACTTTGCTGAGGAAAAGGGGCGTGGAATTTAAACTTTTAAATCAATAAGATGATTCCTTGTGAATTTAAATGAATTCCAATTACATATTAATGGCTCAGAGAACAAAATTTTCAAATACAAAATGTACGCACTAAAGGAAAGAACTATTCCATGTTATAGCAATAAATTTGATGTAACAAATGGCACATCTGCAAAGTCAATTAGGAGCTTGGCATAGTCTCATTGATTTTGTGAAAGTTAATATGTAAATGCATGGTTGAGTGTTGAACTACCAAAAAGTTGCCTCTTATGAAAGTAAACTCTTGGCTTTCATGACTATGCTAGTAAAGCAATACTGCTATTATTAGTGATGGAGATACTTTTTCAACTAAGGCATAGCAAAAGTATGGAGCAATTAAGACTTTAGTATTATTTAATAGAAACTTTTTGGGATGGAATGACAATTTTCTTTTAACTGGAAAGCAGAAAACAATTTCAGAATTGAACATTTCCTTAAAATATTATGAATATTCTTTGAAGAGTTGAAGAAAAATTATGATATGCAAATTTCTAAAAATCATTAAAAAACCAGAAAAACCAGTTTACCACATTAAAGAAATAATGTTTGTATTGATCAATGGAAGAACCTAACTGGGCTATAATTTAAAGGGCATATATAATCATAGCGCACTTATCACGATTTGTAAAATTGCTAAGCTATTTAAAGATATGGCATTTATTACTGTTCTTAACTCTTTATAAAGGTACTCCTGTATTCTAAAGGAGTTTTCTTCTGTTGACTATGCTGCATTTATGACCAAAGTATCCAGAGTGCAAGTTTTTATCTATACTTCTAACTAGGAGCTGTCTAGAAGAAATGATTATTTTTTTAATGAGCGCTTCGGGGAGAGAAGGGAAAGGGACTGTATAGTGAGGCTGTCTTGTAACATGCAATCATAATGGGCAGGCTCCATTGCAGTCATAAGTAAATTTACATCATTCTATAATCACAGAGTAACAAAAATAATACAAATAACATAATTCATATCATTTGTGTAATGATCTTACTATGGTTGACAGAGTGTTCAATTTAATATGCAACTGAAAATAACAGACATCCTCTTTATTCAGCTACAATAAAGCATGGTTTCATTGTGTATACATAACTCATAATTGTAAAAGCCTTTAATTCCTTTCAGATTTACAATTACAAGCTAACAAAACAATACATATTAAGAATGCACTTGAATTGAAATATGGATATACAAAACACAAATCTTGCATTAATTAATAATAAACAGAAAATCAATGTTTCCCTCGAAATTCCATTTTAACTTATAAGAAGCACTGCTAGATCCTCACAATTTCTTATAAAGAAGTATGGAGTCAGAAACCTGCATTTATACTTAATATAAATTAATAAACTATCTTCATATTGAACATTTCTTCAAATTTTCTAGTGCACAAATGTTGAAATTTTACAGAAACTTAATCAAATTATTATATGGCTTGAATCATATAATCTAAACATGGTTCTGAAATAAATGTTTAATATTATTCCCAAAACTGTTAGTAAATCTATTAGAAATAAAGCACTTTTCATGTAGAATACAAATTTTAAGAAGTAATTGAATGATGGTAGATAAACTGCATGATGTACATTCTGCATATAAATGAGTTTTTGGGGTCTTTCATTCTTTGAGTTATAATACATCTATCTCTTTATAACTACATAGAAAAAAAAAATCTGCGAAGTAAAGAAAAACAGCCTATACCTATTCCTGTGAGCAGGTTTTTTTTAAGGAAGCTAAAACATCTTGATAAACTAGGAGTGTAGAAGTAAAATAAATTTAGGAATAAAGCTAAAAAAATTATTTCTTACTTAGTGATGAATAGTTTAAATAGGACCAGTAAAAGGCCACTGGCCAATTTAGGTACAAATCTATCTAAACATACTAGAAACTAAAAGTACATTGTATTTCTTTCCTAATATATTGGTCACCAAATGATAATTATATAGATTAAATACCAAAACTAATATACATATTTCAAAAGAACATCCTCTTTTCCCAATGGCAAACATTAACGTTAAAGTTAGGATTACAGGTAGAGGCATTTATCAGAAATAATATTATATTATGAAATCTGGAAACTGAATAAGCTTATATACTAGCATTCAAATTTTAACTTATTATTTTATGCATTTGAGGAAAATATACATACATAAGTTTTATTCAGACAACTCAAATATCTACCATGAATAAATAATTAAACAGAATATCTAAAACATTGCTTTGCATGTATTAGATATTTTAGAATTAATGTTTTCAGCTTTTCTCTGTGTTAAGTATTTCCAATAATATCAATTCCATAGAAAATTAAGGTATTTGGCAGATGATTTTTAACATTTTCCTCTACAAGAATATTTTTATATGAATTTTATTTGCTGTACATAACTGATCTAAGAAAAAAGAGACAATCTTACAAGTTAAGGCTCAAAGCAAAAACAAGCTATAATTCAGGCAATTGCAGGTATTCAGTATTTTCAGTAAACTCCAGGTATTTCATGGAGAAATGGTTCCTTAAATTTAAATAGTTTTGAAATAGTTTTGTGTGTAACAATTTTATCTTTTTTTGATTGCCTGCATTGACCCAGTGTATAGGACGCCATTAAAATAAACTCCTCTTTTACTACTGGTTCTTCTGTTTTTTCTCCAATTGTAGAATTTTCAGATGTATAGACTTCATTTACAGTAACAACATTTGATTCATCTTCTGTGTTTTTAATACAGTTTATTTTATCAGGAATATCAGTTTGAGCCAGCCAAGAATGCAGCAAACATTCTTCTGCAGTTGCCCGTTTCCTAAATGGAAAAAGAAAGAAATTGACTTAAAGAGTCTGGCTACAAAATGTTAAGGCTTAAAATCACATTCTAGGATCCTGTTAGGTTTGAGAATATTTCAACTTCACATGAACCATATTTTCCAAATAATAGAACACAATCTATTACAAATAGTCATATTCTTTTTTTAAAACTTACATTTTCATCAGGGCTTATATTTTTATTTTAGGATGAAGTAAACAGATCATATTACAGTAGACTTGAATACCAACCTGTGAATCTCCCTCCAGAAAAGTTAGATTACATATACTATAAATTGGATGTTTCCAGTTTAATCATCAGAATTATTCAAGTCCAGCTAAATCCACTGCTAATGCAAAATCACATGAGATGACATTGTGAAATATATTATTAAGCCAAGAGTACATAACATAAGCCGCTGGGTGAGATCATTTGCCGGCACAGGATTAAATACCATCAATATGCGGACGATACCCAGTTGTATCTGTCCGCCCCGTGCCAACTCAGTGAAGCGGTGGAAGTGATGTGCCAGTGCCTGGAAGCTGTCAGGGTCTGGATGGGAATGAAAAAGCTTGCGCTCAACCCTGACAAGACCGAGTGGCTGGAAAGGATGTTGCCCCCCAAGGATAGTCCAGATACTCCATCTCTAAGCCTGGGGGGATGAAATCTTACACCCCTCAGAGAGGACCCGCAACTTGGGTGTTCTCCTGGATCCGCAGCTGA